TGCGCCATGATGACAAATTACACATGTGACCCGATTTTTTTTTGTTGCATTGCATGACATTTTCACATGTCCGCAACCGAAACGGTGAGAAAAAGAAGATATCGAATCGGTCGGCTTTGAGTATATCGTTTTCATTTCAATCGCATGAGACAAGCTTAACGATACCCGATCATTATCGTGTTATGTGACATTTAATTAAAATGTTTGTGATTGAACGAACATTTTGCGTTGTTCTTGTTCGCTTGGTCGGTATCTTTTTTTTTGGATGCAAATTCATGTGGAAAAACAAGTCAATTGCAATAAGCTCCATTGCATTGAGTATTATAATAATCGGACGTTGAAAACCCGGATGGATGAGATTTTTTTCTTTTTGAGTTGTGCGAAAAAAAATTCAGCTGCGAGACGATGAAGAAGGAAAAAAATGGGGTTTATCATCGCTCATTGAGCATGGTTTTACTTACAACCAAATTCATTTCGGTAAAATCAAAGATTGTCAGAGTCGTGCATTCGTATACATGCAATTTTAGCTAAGAAGATGCAAATCAGACACACTGAGCACATCACACAATAGCGAATGAAGAGAAAAAAAAATTCCAAAAACAATAGCTTTAAACCACTTAAAGAGAGAAGCGCACGCGCTCGATGAGAACGTCAGGCATGCAGCATACAAGCGTAAACGAAGAAGAAAAATGAAGAAAAAAAAACACACCAACAGACAGAGGGAATTGAAAAGTAGTGTCGGTGACGCTGTTGCTACCTCCGTCGCTTGCTATTGAATAACTCGAGTGCTTTGTCTTTTCTTGTGCAAGTTTCACATTTTTCGTTCATCAACTTGATTATCTTCCTTGTTCATGTGCATTCGATGTAGATTTACGGTGTGAGTGCAGTGCATTGGTGCAATTATGTGCATGTGTTTGGTTCACTTACTCCTTTCTTTGGCTGCTTGTATACTTAGCGCTAAACCAGTATGAATGTGTTCATTTTCCAACATACGAGGAGAGAGAGAAAGGAAAAAAATTGCAATGCCACTTCGACTACTCTATCGCAACGAAGTACTTTTTTTCACCGAATGTTCCAAAGAATAGCAAGAGGATGGCATTGTGCGATAGGGGATCGAATGTTTAGAACCACAGCACATCCCGATGGAAATTTAACGACGGCGTATTTTTTCCAACGTGCGAATGCTGAAACAACGTTGCTCTAAAGATTGTTGCTCAATAGACACGATGGTGAAAAATAGACGGCAACAAAATGAAATTGTATAAAACAAAATGTAAATGCAAAGGCACACGTGTACAGCAGCAGCAGCAGCAGAACAATGATGAACTGAGCACTGAAGCGAGAGATAGAGAAACGTGTGGGCTGCTTGCTCAGTCACATTCATCTCAAATGTCGATATAAGCTTACTGAATATATGTGTGACGCAGGGCACGTTCCATCGTATAAATGTGCGAAAAGAAGAAATGATGTAAAAAAAAACAGAGTCATAACATATTCATTGGCTATTGCTGTGTTGCCATTACTATATTCGAGCAAGGCGAGTGAGAAAAAAATAATACTGTCTAACTGAAACCAAAAAGAAAACCCAAAATGCAAGCAAGAATGAATGGCCACGCAAACTGTTTTATGCATTGCTATCCATTTTCCTGTGTTTGGTCGGATGGTCGGTCGGTCGTTCAATTATTTGTTCGTTCATTTTGTAGCTTTCATTTTCGGTTGGACGGCACTTCTTGTCTTTTTTTGTCACCATTACTTTGGTGATCGATTCATTTACTTATTCAGCGGTCAGATAACTTTCATTGTGATTTTTCACATTCGTTTCGTTTTGTATGTGCATTCTGGTATCACAGTAAGTGATCACTTCTCAAGCTGAGCACATTTCTATTATCCATGTCACTGCACTCAGACATCGGTGCAATAATCTAATCATACAATCTAAATTGTCTGTACATTTGTAGATTGCGATTGCAATGTGGTGTTTGCTCAATGCAAATGAACATTTTCAATGAACTCGGTGTGTGTCTTTTTTCTGTTCAGCCGTTGTGGCATCATCATCATCATCGTCGTCGTCGTTATTATTCACACAATTGCATGAGAGCAAATATTACAGAAAACTGCACGAAATGGAGACAAAGCGAACAAAAAAGAAGAAAGAAGAATGCAAAATCAAATGCAATTATGAAAAAAAAAAACTGTCCAAATTCCTAGCGAATATTTGAGATTCGCATTGACCTCTGAATGAATTGTATATGAATGCATTGGAAAATGGAATAATAAAACGGACGGCAAATGCAAACGTGCTACGCAATCCAGACGGAATGGGAATGTTGCACATATTTAGCGCAAATTCATTTGGTATGCGAAATGCACACAACGACAACGACAACGACAAAGTTGGGAATTTTTCAGTTTATTCATATTAATTCATTTTTGTTGGTACCGCCATCATAAAGCAAATATTTGAATAATGCCATGCGGCGAAAATGCAAGGAGTCTTGCAAAGTATTCAAGTGTAAACTAATGTTTAAATCATTTTCAATTTGTCAAAAGTCCGAACCAATTTGAAATGATATAACTTTGTGCGCGCTAAGAAACACCAGATACAAATGCCATTCAAACGAAACAATTTTGATGTTTCATTTTGTGTGTTGTTTAATTGGCATATATTGTTGATTGAAACATTGAAGCAAACATACAAACGCAACAAAAACCAACGCAATTACATGAAATTCATAGTTTGTCACGTCAACACAACAGTGAGTGGCAAGCAAAACAAGTGAAAGAGTAAGCGAACGCGTGCCTCTCTCACAAACACACACGCGCGGACACATATACGGTTTTTCTCGTAATACATTGGCGCAATAAATTTCGGAATGTGTAACTTATAATGAATGAGGTATTGAGTAAAGTGATCCAATGTACTTGACTAAATTATAAATGATAAACACAAGCAGTCCATGCATACGGATGGCAAGCTCATTTGGACGCACCAGAACCACAGCAATAACACTTAACTCTATTCTCTTCATCTCTCTCATTCTCACAGACTATCGTTTTGTATATGACGTCATTTGGCAATTTATATATGAAAAAAAAAGAAACAGCAGTTACATGGCTGAATAAGTGTTTACGGCAAATATATAGCGCCTTGAATCCACATTTACGCATCATTATTTTTATCATCATCAGTTTTTGTTCACTTTTTGTTTTGTTCGTTGAATCGACGATGAATAGAATTGTGAAAGAAAAGAATGAAGAGAATTGGAACCGATTGGGCTATGGGGGAAAACCGCATAAGCAAAGAATTAAAACAGATGAATTCACTTGGATGCGTAGCAGTATGAGATATGCTCATCGTAATTCGTATGAAGTGTCAAATACAAAAATGTTTTATGTATGTATCTTGTCAAAAATGCCGGAAATATTTATTAAAAATGCATGAATTTGATCTTTCTCGCGTCGATTTTACGCAAAAACTAGAATATAATAAACGATTAAAGCAAATGACTAACAACCGAAGGTTGAAGTGGCAAGTCTCCTTGCACTGATATGAAGTCGATTTGAAATGAGGCATATTTTCAGTAATTACAACTGTGTTGTAAAGTTTTCAATTTAATTTCGAATTTCGGGGGGCTGATTTTAACGATTCTGTTTACCTGAATCGATTCGTTGATATTTTTAGGTCGGTTAAAAACCTGGATTAAGGTCTTACAAAAAGTAAATTTACTTATTGATTGAGTAACCAGTTTTCAAAGACACGATTTTCGAGGCCAGTCACAAGGAAGGCGATGATAAACGAAGAAAGAGAGGAAAAGACAGAAATTCATTACGGCATAATAATAGAAAACGACGCACGATATCAGCGTCGCCTGTGATGCGTTAATTCGCATACAGTCTGCACTGATGGCAACGAACAAGTGAACAGCTTTTGCATACACATGCCGGAGTGACGGCTGTGAAAAACTGGAAAAAGTGTACAAAGACCGATTGTGATATGAATGCACAGATACATGGCTCGTAGCAAACGAACGAACGAACGAATGAGCGAGAGAAAATGCGCAAAGCGCCCGCTTCGCTTCGTCTGTAGATAATGTATGAAAAAGTGCGATACTTTATTATTGTTGCGATTTCAGCATAAAAGCACAAAACCATACGCGGATATTCTTGGCACATTTAGAAGTTCTTTATTTTATTAAGTGAAATGTGTGCTGGATATTTACGTTGTGGGTGAAAGCAAAAAAGCGTGTGTCGATTGTATTATCGTCATTTATCACCCAGCACCAAGCACACAGATATATTCGTTTACGTATACCGAGGTGTTTCTCTCTGTCTATCTCCCCTTCTCTATGTTCAAGCATTTCGTTGATACTCCATTGATGTTGAAATGCATCAGCCAAAAGTTATACGTCCTATCAATTATCATTTTATCTCGATTAGCAATCGAAACATTAGCACCAATGTCAGATTCACTCTAACATGCCCACGAATCCATGTAATGTTCACAGTTCTTACTCAATGCCATAATTCAATTTCGGCCATCACACAAAAACCTAACAAATGAGAAAAAATGATGGAAAAAAGAGAAGCAAAAAAAGTCGGAACATTAACAGCCGCGCTAACGAAACATAATAAACAGTAGTGAGATGAACTGATGTATTTAGCAAAGAGCATACTATACAAAATAGTATATGACTCAATATTTCTTCTTTGGATTGTGATTGGCGACGTATTTTCGCATTCGTTATTTTTCATTTAAAATGTGTTTGTGAGGTTTCTTTTTGTGTGCTTCTCTCTCGTCCATTATACATCCATTTGAAATCTTCATCGAAAATTTAAGGCGAAAAAATCGCAAAACCATCACAAATAATTGCAGAAATGTTGAATGCCACAGCAGAACAGCACCATCGATGTCCAACGTGGAGATGACGGTTATTTTATAGTGGCCGTAATAATCGTAAATAAATTGTATGTATATATAATATATGTATATGTGTACTTACTTTGGTAAATTGGCTAAATATCGACTTTGTTTTTCCCGGCGCACCTCGTCCGTTAGACGTGAATAGGTGTTATTAATGCATACGCTTCGTCGTAAATTCGTTTCAGAGTCCTTTATACGTTCCAATTTGTGGGCGCATAGCTGCAGTATTCTTTTGCGTTCTTCGCGTAAGCGTAATTTTGCCGATATCATTGGTACGCGCGGCCGTGTATAACGTAGTGGTGATGTGCGAGGTGGTCCAAACATATCGGAATCGTCATCAGTGGCATTCAAGCTTGTTGTCGGAAGTGTCATATTGTTTGGCTTTCTGTTCTCTTTTTTATCCTCTATCTACCTGGATTTTTGTTTTATTTGCGCTTATCCAACGATAATATTTCGGGCTGAATCCTTAGTATCGTTCTACGGTTAAGTGAATGTAATGAAATTTCGTTCTCTTTCGCCTTTGATGAAGGTGCTTCTTTATTTATGACTTTTTATCGCTATACAGCCGTTGCACGGAAATTCCCACAGTGCATATAATTCAAAGGAAGCGCCACTCTACGTTTTCTCCTTTTCGCTTTTACTCGCTTTCAAAGAGTTTCGGTAAATAAATTAAAATCAACTCTTTATTTCTTACTTTTAAAAAATTTGTTCGTCTCTCAATGTGTGTTCGGTTGCTTTTTTTCTCTTTCGCTGATTTCATAAAAAAAAATTGGAAATCTTAACTCATTTTATAGCGTTTCTTTTTCTTTTATTCGGTTGTACAAATATTTCGTGCACAGCGTTACGGTTGATTAACTCACACTGAACTCAATATGCTGTGAATTGTCTGATTTGAATGGATTTCAAATTAGCGTTCTTAAGTGGTTGCTACAACCGAAATTGTTAAACTTGTCGCGCGTTCAAACGGTTTTTTATTGATTTCTGTTCAATTTCATTGAAATCGTTCTCCATCAACGAAATAGCACCTAATTACAGGCTTGACCATTTATTGTCTTTTCAGTTTGTATTTGTTGTTGGTTTTCTTTAAATCGTTTTGGAATTTTCGTTTTGGTTGATTTGCTTTCGCGCACAAAATACACCAATAAAATACAGCACTTGGTAAAAAAAAAATTAAAAATGCAATTTCAAACTGATACGTCCATCGATTTAGCTACTGGCGGCGGTGCACATTTAATTACACTTGGTCAAATTGGTCAATTCAATTTCGGAAAATATTCAAACGAAATCGGTTTGAAATGAAAATCACTGTGCACTCGATTGGCTTAAGTGTATATAATAAAAGCAAATGTTAACAAAATTGTTTTATTGACGGTATCGGAACAGTACACTTTGTGCGTTAATCGTGGTATTGTTATTTCTTTTTGCTTTGTTTTGTTGTTGTCTTATTGGCATATAACAGCACACAATCAAAATATTCTTCAATAAATAATATTTTTCCTCGTCTGTGTTTTTCTTTTTTGTAATTTGTTAACTGTTTTCCCTTTACGATTGAAAGTTAACATAAATTACAAGTCGTAGTTGTGCGAACTTTGTGAATTTTCTTCTTTGTGTACGTTTTCTCTGTCTTTTCGGTTTTTCAGTTTGTATAAATAGTGTATTGGCTTTCGAGCAAATTCATTCACACAATTCACGCAATTCGTTTTCTCTCTCTCTTTCTCTATTGCCTTGTTCACTGTGGCAGCCGTACAACGAAACTAAATGAAACGAAAATAATGGGAGATCCAACACAAAAAAAACAGCACACACAACGGTTAAGCACAACTATAAGAAAAAATATGTTAACCGTTTCACTTTTTTTTTGCTTTTCGTTCGCTTCTTTGTAGTCTCTGTATCCGTTGAATTCGAGTTGAGTTGAGCTGTACGTAAGCTGCTAGTTGGTTACTGTACGTAGTATCTATTTGCTACTTGTGTTTCAAGTGTAAGCGCGTTGTTTGTATATTGTTATGTAGCTGATTGCTTGTTAACGTGAACACGTACCACAATTGTAGCCACTTGCACGATTTATTTTGCCTCTTTCAATCTTTCTTTTCTTTCTCTCCCTCTCTCTGTCTCTTTGTCGCGCTTATTTTTCTTTCCAATTGTCACACATGAGATACGCACTCGCACGAATTATTCGATTTATTGTATGTGTGTTGTTTTCTTTCTCGATTTTATTTTTGCAAGTGCTTTTATTTTCTGTTTCGGTCAATTGTAATGCAATCAACAATAATCAAATCACAGTCTTTTCAATGCAATAGTCTCTTAGTGTATGGGTTCAATGTAAAAAATTGTGCACCAAAAACGTTGTATTATATTTTTATCGCATGTAATATGGAAAAGAGCAGTCATGAGATGCGAAATCACTTTCAATAGTCAACGCGATACACATACTCATGCACATTTGTTGCTGTTGAACAATCTTTCTTTTTTCTTTTTTCAAATGATCAACCAGAAACTAGGTGACCACATTTCAATGACAGTTGTTTGATGTGTTTTTCTTTTTCTTTCTGCGTGTATGTATGGCGCAGTCACTGTTCTATGGGATAAATGCGATTTGCGTTTTATAAGATTGTTGTTGCTGATGCTACTTTGCTTCTTCTTTTTTTCAAAGCACTTCAATTTGTCACTTCGTATGCGTGCACTTATCTTTTTTGTTCATGTCTAACTTTTTTCTATCAGATGATTTCACCGTTTTTTTTTCTTCTTCTTTTGTCGTGATAAATGCCAATTGTTTCGTCTTGTACGGTTCGTAAGTTACGGCAAAATTTCACTACAGAATTCCGACTCTCACAATTTATTTTTACCTCGAGCGGATAATTTGGTCACTTTTTTCTCTCTCACTCAATCGACGACAGAACAAGTGTACCGTTTAACATATCAATTGACCGGTATCACTTTAAATAAACCTCGGGTCGTTTTTGACCGTTAACTGTTCACTTTGAAATGTTTACGTATAAAAAAAATGATTTCAAAAGTAATTGTTTTGATATCAACAGGATAACATTAATCACAAAATTGATCTTTAACACACGTTTTTCACCCACTTTTTGCTGTCGGCAGTAACCGATATTTCTTTGGATTTGATACGAGAAAAAAAAATTTACACGTATAAAAAAGGAAATTTCTCTTGGACAAACACTGTTGCTTTTTTTTAGAGAAAAAAAAAAACTTTTTATTTTTACGAAAATTATAGAATAATTCTCAGCAATGTTGACAGAAATCAGTCCTATGGTTGATGTAATGATTTTCAAATCAATTGAATATCGTGTATATAAAAACTGTGTTAATTGAGAAGGTTTTTGTGATTCAAATAGATTTTCTTAGTGAAAAATCTCGGATAGCGAGAGCGAACAGCAAAATAGGTGTTCAATGACGGCACGCTAGCTTTGAACTGTTTGTATGAACGAATCGTGCGGTGCATGCCACCAATTCTACACAGAAAATTCATTCGGTTTGTCGTTCGACACCGACACCGTAGCTCGTAAACAATTCTCCGTTTGGTGTAAACACACTTACGCCTCGTATGCACAGCACCAACTAACACATTCACACACACACACATGTACGCTCAGCAAACGGCTGACTGCTGTTACGCATATCGCTTTGAACTTCAAACCGTATTGTTTACGTTTGTTTGGCAGCTGAAGGAGAAACGAACATCGGATATGTGTGCTACTTGCTTCGGTGAATGTATCGAAGCGAAAAGAAACAGCAGAAAATGAGAATCGGAAAACAAATTTATATTTATGAGTCAAAAGCAGTAAAACAAATGTTGTTGTTTCCCCAGTTCACTTGCCGCATATGGTGCAACGCAGCGCAGCATATGAATCGTACAGTTTATTTGGATTTGTTTCGATTTAAATTGCGGCGTGGTAACAAAAAAGGGGCAACGATATCGTTAAATGCGAGCGGCAGACAATGTGATATTGAATTTTAGTGAGTTAGGGGAACACTGACCATATTTCTCCAATTGCTTGTGATATAACCTCGGTAGATTTACGCTTATGAATTGTAAGTGGAAATGTGAATGTGGAAAACATAAGGCATGACATCGAAATTGAAATCTTCAAATCTTGTTGAATACATCAATCGGCTTGTGTGCGAGATTCTCCTGCCGTTACAATTGCTGTGCATGCGATTCGTTTAACTGAAATATCAACAGCAGCACGTTAATAAACAACCTGATGACGGTGGCTCACCGCCAAACACATTCAGATCTCTTGGCGACGCAAAGCATTGATGGGAAGAGAGCAGCACGGCGGCGTCGTTGACACCAAACGAATATAGCAGAAAGGGATAGACAGTAAGAGAGGGAGAGCGAGAACAAACTGAGAAATAAATATGGGAAATAAATCGACGTCGAAATGTTTCATTTGAATGCGGGAAATGGTTTTGGTTGTATCGCATGGATATGGAGCGCGCACAGTCACCGTATCAAATGAACCAAAATTGTATGTGGATAAAATGTGTACAATACATAGGAGGATAAGCCATACAAGCAACATACAACAAACTGCCTTTGCTACTCCACTAAATATGAGCACGAATTTGCTTTAATCGCATTGAGAGAGTGATTGTATTGTGAACGCGCGTATAACATCTATAGCGTTTGATATTACAAACGCGTTTTATTATTCTGTATATTTTGATACACATATTGCCACACATATTTGGCGCGGTGAATAAACATATACAATCAATAGGAACGAGAGTGAGAGATTTTATGGTGCGGTTTTACCGTTTGAAGTTAGTGTGTACATGCGATGATATGCTTCTTTTTTTCATTTCTCTGTCTCTCTCTCCCTCTTCGGCTCTGTTCTTCGCCCAGTGAATTCATTCTGTATGTCGGTTGCTCTGTTGCTCTGTACTCGGTGTGCTTGCCATTATCGCATGAAAATAGAATCAATCTCTTTAATATATTGTTCATGTTCATGTATGCACAGTTTTTTTTTTCAATCGTTATTTCTTTTACTTTGCGTCTCTTCTTTCGCCTCTTTATCGTTTCTTTTTTTCTCGTTCTGTTGTCGATTTGCATTACATTTTTTTCAGCATATAAATTCGGTTCACATTTTTTCCAACTGACTTCTTGCATTGATCGTTACGATAACAAAAAAAAAGCATCGAGAGTATGAAAAATGTTTTTTAATATTCCGAAAATGTGACTGATTGAATGAATCAAATGTACATCATTTGTTTGGAAAACTTTATTGCACAAATATATTTTCTCACTCAGTTATTTCAATTGTAATTGTTCAGTGGGCATACAAACGAGAGAGCATCCCACAAATATTTGTGAAATCAGTTTATTTGCTTAATTTAATCAATGATTTAATGCGAAATGTCGTTCATGGGCGAAGCGTGTAAATTACTCGGAATTGCCTTGAGTAGCCATTTTTAATTTTATCGATAAATTTTTAAATTGTACTTATTAAATTGGATCTGAAGTAGCAAAAGTAATCGCCTAATATCATCTGTAAATAATTAATATCAGCAAGCGGAACAACGAGCGAACACCACCACATTTGGCTGGGAAAAAAAATTACATCAATTGCTAATGAGCAAACAAACAGAGAAAAAACTAAAAAAATATGGGCATGAAATTAAATGTTTCTCTTTGTATTTGTCGTTTTTTTTTTTTCGTTCGTTTTGTATAGAAAAAAAAATGTTTGCATGTATTCAAAGTCGACCACTATTCACGGTTGTGTCGTAAACACGTGTACACGGTGTTGTATAGTGCGCTTAGCAAACGAATCTGTATGATATAGTTATATTGGATTTAACCGTAAAGTGTAGCCGAGCGCTAAAACAGACGTTTATATCTTTATGCAGAACATTACAGTCTTACATTGAACAATCGTGCTCGCGTTTCCATTCAATGTACACGTTTTTAGTTTTGGCTGTCATCTCTCGTTCGGTGTGCCTCACACCGAAATCGAGTTGAATGTATGCAGGTTTTTTTGGTGTTTAATACACGAAGGTAAGGTAATATCACTTGCATCGCAAATTGAATCCATACGATTACGTACGGACCAAGCACATACTCATTCCTTATAGTCAAATAAATGTAATATGATTGGAAAGACGCATTCCGTACGGTTCAGTCCGTGCGCTTGGCGTGCATACGACGAATTATTGTGTGTATTGTATGTATTTTTGTTGGTTCCGCTTCTTTTCTGTCTATTAAAACACATTTAAAGAGCAAAATGTGCGAACGACGAAGAAAGCAACCGAAACGACACACAAAGGCAAGATGGTGAAGACAACAAGAAACAACACAAAAAAAAACGAAGCGAAACAGAAGAAAAAACTAAACACGATATCATATAAACAAAGTAAAACGAAGAATGGGCAACAAAAAAACAGCTGTCAATGATTTTCTTTCTCTACAATACACTACAAACTACACCGCACACACACAAACATTCACACCGAATGTGGTATGTGTGATGCGTGTAGTTCGGCCCGTATTTCTTATGTATGTCTTACGCTTCGCACAGCAAATTCTTTGTACTGTTTACACCTTTTTTTTCTCTTCTCTCATTCATGTTCGATTGCTCTTTGCGTCGAACTACATTTAATAATATATTGGCCTCTTCCGAGCCGTTGCGGTCATTGTTATTGTTGTTGTATGCGTCCGTAATGATGCTGTCGTCTCGATTATCCAAATTATACATGCACTTTTCATACTTTAAACGATATTCCGTATGCACACTCGATACGTACGTGATGAATCATGGTTCATAATTATCAGTTTCTTTCTATTATGAGCGCTTCCATCACAGATACGTCAACCGATTTATTTGATAATTGTAATTATTGTGTGTTGTGAAACAACAGCGATTACACATTTCGAATAATATGTCAACGCCTTGTGTTGAGCTCGTATTCAACTCAACGAATATAAAATTTATGTCGCTTTATGTTCTACATTCATCTTGATTTTTATGTGCTATATGATAGAGATACAGTTGATGAAATGATGCCGAATTTCGAATGCGGACTCTTTTTTTTTATATTTTGTCGTCGCTTATATTTTCGTTCAATATATTCGGTCAGTGTATGTAAATCAGAGTGTCGAACATCGTTTATTTGTCTATCGCCATTTCAAATTTTAATTTATCTCTATTACGTATCGTTTAATGCGTACGATATTTCAAACCCGTTGCTGATATAGGCGAGTGTGGCCAGAATAAAATATTTCTCCGACTATGGGCCCTTAATAAAATACATATGTTTTCACTCCGATATATTTATTTATTCCCTGGTTTATTTTTCTTTTTTTTTTTGTTGCTTTACGTTTCTCGTTCTCCCTGATACGATTACGAATAATGTTCGGTTGTGTATTATCTGCTGTTACTGTTGCTGTTGTGATTTTCTCTTTCCCTCCTCACTTGGCGATCATATGCTTAACAACAGTTACGTATAAGCTGATTGAAACAACAAAGAAACAACGTTCATATAACAAGATGCGCATGTGTGCGTGCTTGTAAATATACGACAGAGAGTTTGCGAGCGAGTGTGTGTGTGTGTGTGAAGAAGAAAAAAATGTGTATACTATTTATTATATTTTGCTATTATTACTGAAATCACTGAAATTATACGTATTCACGCATCACAGACATAAGTGAGCACAATTTTGGTTTGGCTGGTTGCAGAAAACAAGCGATGGTGATGGTCACGAAGACAAATGGATAGAGTGAAAATGTTTTCCACCTTCTTTTTTCACTGATGCCATTCTTCGTTTAATCTCTATCCGAAATAATTATCGTCATCGTCGATGTCATCATCATCATCATCATTGTCATCCTAACAAAATATCGCATTTTGTCCTTTGCTCCCGCACTCACTCACTCACTCGTATGGTGCAGTATAACAAATAGAAGAGGGCTCTTGGGCCACAATTCAAATGAACAGAGATGAGAGAAGAAAAAAAAAACCGTACACTGCAGAAAACTCAGTAAGTCACTTCGTGTTCGTACATAATAATTTTTTTTCCATATCGACGAATTTTATGGTTTGCCTAAGCGCAACTCACATTTGCCCCATTCGAAGTGTGCATGTGTATACGAAGCGTAATCGTCGTACGATATTTTATGTGTATCCACAGTACACACCAATTGATTGATATGTTTTATTATGTGACTATACTTCGCTTACTGTTGATTTATACAATTTTTTTGTTGTTGTTCGTTCGCTCTCATTTCAACTTTTTCTATCGCATTTGGTGTACTGTCATTCGGTTGATTCTCGATGCCGTCATTTTCCTTTATAATAGATTTGACGGTATGTTTTATTTCACTGTTTTTTTTCTTCCTCTCTTCATTCTTTATACGCTGCGATGAAGTCTCTGTGCATGTTTGTTATTATGGTCGTTGTTGTTGTTGTTGCTGC